AGGACGAGGAATTCAGACCCAATATCAGCATCTTTTCCAGAGATTCCTCCATTGTGCATACTTTATGTTTCTGTTTTCAAACACCAATGCCTAGCTGGAAACATAAGAGTCCTAAATGTATCCAAACAATGGAAGTTGCTAGTTACAAATAACTCATTATTACAGCTATATTTATGGACTGCAACATCCACAGTTTGATGTGTACTGACAGCGCTTTGTGCTGGTCATGGACTGTAATAAAATGTTGTTGTTGTTGTTGTACAGACTGAGAAAGCTTCAGATTGAAATCTCCAGATATATCAGGAAAAAATCTCTATCTAAATCTCTGGAGAGCCACTGCAGATGGCATTGATGATGAATAGTACAAGAGTTTGTCTAAATATAAGCCAGCATGGGGTATGGGTTTAGTGTTGGGATGACAACTGTAGAGACCAAGGTTCGAATCGAGTCATGGAAATCCACTGGGTGATTTCCATGTCTGAGCAAGTCACATACTTTCAGCCTCAGAGGAAGGCAGTAGAAATCCTTTCTGAACCAATATGGTCTAGAAAAGCTTGTGACATCTTTGCCTTCAGTTTGCCATCAGTGGGATATCATGAATGCATGCAAAAACAATATAGCATACCTATCAATCAATGTATCCATCCATTCATCCATCCATCTACATCACACATATTGTATCAGGAGAACAGGTAGAGCTCAGTCTTAGACCCCTTCTACACTGCTAGATAATCCAGGTTATCAAAGCAGAAACTCCATGTTATCTGATTTGAACTGGATTATTTCAGGCCCCTTCCAAACAGCTATATAAAATCCACGTTGAACTGGATTATATGGTAGTGTGGACTCAGACAACCAGTTCAAAGCAGATATTGTGAATTAGCTGCCTAGATATTTCAGGTTATATGGCTGTGTGGAAGGGCTCTGAGTCCTCACTGCCATATAACCCAGTTCAAAGCAAATAATGTGTAGAAGGGGCCTTGGTTAAGAGGTTTTGCAAAGAAAAGGTCCCTGGTTCAACTTCCACCACCTCTCAGCAGGAATTTCCTTCTTTGGAAGCTTTTAAACAGGGGCTGGATGGCCATCTGTCAGGGATACTTTGATTGTGCTTTTCCTGCATGGCAGGAGGTTGGACTAAATGGCCCATGTGGTCTCTTCCAACTTTATTATTCTATGATTCTATTAAATCTGAATCAATTCTGTCTAGATTGGTGGAAAGTTATGGCCACAGTCCAAGTGGACATGCCGAGTTAAAGGAGCCAGTGGTTTCCATCCTAATAATGCAGCTTTGAATATTACTTTTTGGACCACTCTACCCAGCATCACTTAGCCAGTGTATGAACTACCAATCCCAGAATCTCCCAAGTACTCTTCCAAACTTTTAATGGCAGTTCAACCCATGACGGAGTCAGCTCCCCATCAGTTGACAAAGCTTTGGTTCTTGCAAATTTAATCTAGGGATTGTTTACACAGATTATAAAACAAAATCAGCTTCTTCTAGTCAAAAGGAGGGGTGAAGAACTGGATAGGATACCAACACCCTGCCATCTACCCATGGGGAATGCCTTTCAGCCAGCAATTGGACATGTGACCTGAGTCAACACTCTTGTGTATGTCTCCATTGTGGCTAAAATGTGCCTCCAAGTCACTTCTGACTCGCAACACCCGAAGGCAAACTGATCACAGGGTTTTCTTGGCGAGTTTTGTACAGAGGAGCTTTGTCTTTCCTTCTTTCTTTCGAGGCTATTTGTGTGACTCAAATAGCCTCGAATCAATGGCTAAACTGGAATTTGAACCTTGGTCTCCAGAGCTCAATGCTGAAAACTATCAACACCACAATTACTCTCTCTATTGTCACAGCGATTATTTATTGATTGTTCACATTTCTCAGTGTCAGTTCCAGACTGTCATCTTACAATACAAAACCAAGACAATTAAATACCACAATTCTTATTTAAAACATTTCTCACATGGGAAAAGGGGTCACATCACATGTTGTATATGCAGCCCATCACCAAATGTTTCCAGTCCCTTATGTTTCAGCAATGGTGCTCATGACTTTTTGACCAACTTCAGCAGGAAGCTGGCCATAGAATCACACTGGAAGACCTAGATATTCCTAGACAGAAGTTTTGTAATCAAATCTATACACATAGTAATCCTGGATTTTCTGTTTTTCCTCCACCATGGGCATCCCAGTGTTTCAAACTTTCTCAATTTGTGTGAAATTTGCATGACCCCACCCACTGCCTCTCCCTTAACCATTTCCTATTCTTTTCTATGGCACACAGCAAACAGAGGAATTATCAGCAACTGAACATACTAGTGAGGTTTGTGGAGAATTCACCATGATTTATTGGAGTTGTTGGTACTGGAATTTATAGTTTAATCTAAGAGCACTCTGAACTCCACCAACGATGGACCTGGAACTAACTTGACACACAGAACCCTCATGATCAGCAAAAAAAATACTGGAGGTCTTTGTGGAAAATTCACATTGATTTGAAGGAGTTGTAGTTCACCTACATCTAGACAGCACTGTGAACCCAAACAGTGATGGATCTGGACCAAACTTGGCACACATATCCAATACGCTGAAATTTGATTACTGGAGGGGGGTTTTTTTGCAGGGGGGGTTAACCTTCCTTTCTGGGAGTTGTAGTTCACCCACAACCAGAGAAACGGTGACTTCCACCAATGATGGATCTGGACCAAACTTGGCACACAGAATCCTCATGGCTAACTCAACCTACTGGATAGGTTTGAGGGGACTGATTCACCATAGTGGGAGTCGTAGTTTACTCCAGACCCAAAGAGCACACTGAACCCCACCAATGATGAATCTAGAGCAAACTTGCCCAACATAACAAACTTTGAGTACTGATGGAGTTTTTCGAGGTTAACCTGGTATGTTATGAGTTGTACTTCACCAACAACTGTATGCATTGTGTAGAATTAAAATTTGACTTTTTCAAATAACCCGGGCAAAGCTGGGTACCCAAGCTAGTCCTTGAATAATATCCAAATTCACAAAGTCAAAACTGCAAATAAGGAGATGACTGTACTCAGGTCTCCCTTGGAACTGCTCAAACTGCAGTCAACTGGAGGCTCCTTTGTGTTCAATATATATACATATACTTACTGCTAATGGTATACCAAGAGAGTAGAGCATGACTGACTTCTGAAAGGCATTGGAGCCAAAATGAGGACTTTCTGCTTCCAAAACAAAAATACTGCCTTCCAATTTTTTCCACTCCCCAAATCTCCATTCATTGCAGTAACTTAAGAGACCCATTGAATATTTAAAAGACTGCCCTCCGTATCTGTAGGTTCTGTATTCATGGATTCAACAAACCAGAAAGCAAACCTTGATTTATCATTTTATATTAAGGCCATTGTGTACAATAGGATATGAGCAGCATCCATGGGGGTCTGAAACCTTGATTTATCATTTTACTATGCCATTATGTACAATAGGATATGAGCAGCATCCATGGAGGTCTGATATCCAAACCAGATATCAAGGGCCCATTGTATTGCTACAACATCCACAGAAAGGAGGAAAACAACATTACCAAAGAAAACAGAAAGCTTTCTGTTTGTTTGTTTGGTTAACTATTTTCAACATCTCGCCTGCAATTCTAGAAATCTGGTGGCTGATGAAAAATTTCACTAGAGAGTAGAATTCCTTCTTAAGGGGACAATGCATTTATTTTAAGTGCTACCCCATAAGGTACGGCACTGCTGTACCCAAGTTTGCCAAGACCACAGAAGCCTGAACCTAGAACTTGGGGTGTGTTATTTCTGTGGACTCCAACTCCCAGAATCCCTGGCTAAGGAATTCAGAGAATGGTAATCCATAGGAGTTACTCACCCAAAGCTCTGTTTCAAAAGCCACTCTAAGGCCCCTTCTATACTGCCATATAATTCAGAGTATCAAAGCAGATAATTCTCATATCTACTTTGAACTGGATTATATGAGTCTACACTGTCATATAATCCAGTGCAAAGCAAATAATTTTATATAGAAGCAGAAGAGGCCATAATGTGGGTTAAGGGTTGCAAAGAGTGGCCTTGAGGAAGAAAGGTGGGATATCAATTAAATAGATACCTTTGGCAGGAGAGAGGGAAAAGTCAAACTCTTTGCCCCTACTAGGAGTGTGTCTATACTGCAGTCTGACTACAGTTTGACCCCACTTTCACCATCATGGCTCAATGCTATAGAATCCCAAGAGTTGTAGTTTGTTGAAGCACCAGCCCCTTTGGGCAGAAACTGAATATCTTTTAAAACTACAACTCCTAGGACTCCATAGCATTGGCTCCAGGCAGTTCAACCTGGATGGCCATCTGTTGGGGGTGTCTGGATTGTGCTTTTTCTGCACGGCAGAGGGTTGGACTGGATAGCCCTTGGGTCTCTTCCAACTGTATGATTCTAAGTGAGGTCAAACTGCATGAATTTGACTGAATAGATGCTATGCACTCAACCTGGGTCGAGAGTGGCAAACCTCTTTGCCTTGGGAAAATATAAATACAGACTGATGATATATTTATATTATTTTTATAAATGTACAAATATATATATACATAAAATACAACATAAATGAATAAGTAAATAAAGTTTGCCAGAAAAGGGAGAAAACCTGGAGCACTTGGGATGCATCATTGTAGAATAGAGCAATAATAATTAATTGATTGATTAATTAATTAATAATTACTCACCTCTCCTTTCAGCGGGAGGTGGGGCACAACATAGTCAACGACATTGATAAAAGGCCCATGTAAAAGCATTGTTAAAATACAATGAAAAAACCTTTCCAAACTGTGTTGCGACAAGTTACTACATCCGCAGCAATGTGGAGGTGTGTCACGTAAATGAGAAATGACAAGCATCTTGCAAATTTACATTATTATCTTGCTATATATAGGGGCAGTTCAAGTGGGGTCAAAATGCATCCATTCTTCTGTGTAAATACACCCTAGGAATCCCAGATTAAGTTTACCTTCGAAGTCGGAAAGTATCCCATCCAGATGCTCTTTAACAGACAGCTGGGACATCTTGGCTTCAGGCGTCCAGTTTGGGAGGGACGACGAAGTGGCTCAAGCCCTGCTGTTGGGGAAAAGGGGGGGGGGGAGAGAAGAAATATATGTATCTCTATATATATGTAACTAGAGCCTGGGGGGAGCTGAAAGAAGTTGCGACCCAATGCGCAAAAGCGGAGAAAAGTTTGCCAAAGTTTGCCAAAGATTGGTTCCTGACCCCCCAGGTCTTTGGGACGCTCCCTTGAAGGACTTCCCTGCTTTGGGATAAGAAAGAGAGTGGCAAAGGGAAGAGCCTGGCTTTTTCTTTCCATTCCCCCTCCCTTCCCAAGCCCACCCTTCCGGGGATCGCATTGGCTGAAGGAGGAAAGAGAGAAGAGGAGGAGAGAAAGGGGAGAAGGGAAGCAGAGGAAGAAAGAAGGAAGGAAGGGGAGGGGGGCAAGGCTTGAAACTGCTCTTTGCAAGGGCAGGAAGAGGGGAGGGAGCAAGCTGGAGCCTGGCCCACTTGGCTTCGTTTCTGGCCTTTTATTAGGAGGTTTTTTCCTCCTAAAATGTAAGGTTCATCAGTTCCTCCAGCTGCAAAGACACGTGTCTGGTTAGTTTCCAAGCCAGACCTGGCCATCCTTGCAAAGGAGGCTCCTGCCCCTTTAAGAAGCCCACCAAGACTTTTGTGTCTTACTACTGAGTGTGTGTTACAGTTTCCAGAAAAGAAAAAACCCCTGTAATTTCAATCTAATCAATACAAAACAAAAGCACGGACACTGAAACAAAATAATCAAAAGCTATTATTATTATTATTATTATTATTATTATTATTATTATTATATTTAGTTTGAATTACAAATTTTAAACTTCCACTCTGTCTAACTTTTGTTTTGTGCATGTTAATAGGTTTTTAATAGAAATAGGTTTTATGTGTGTAAATAAATAAATACAGGGTGTTTTTAAATGATTATGTGTTTTGATTGTGTGTTGTAGCAATGATGTAATTGACTTCTGGAAGTAAGGAGAAATTACTGGGCTCTACAGGCCAATGGAGACTCCATCACAGACCTCAGAAGAGCTACAAGACCAAGAACAAGCCATGAGAGTACAGACAAAGATCCACCCAGAGGAAAAGTAATCTTACCATACAGCAAGGGAACCACTGCCCACATAGGGAAGCTGATGAATAAACACTACCTACAACTATCTACAGACCCACCAAGAAAATCCAATAAATGCTACGTTCATCAAAGGACAAGAGGGATCCTCTCACCTCTGCAGGAGTCTACCATATACCATGCAGCTGTGGACAAGTCTACATAGGGACCACCAAACGCAGCAGAATTGTCCAAACACGAATCAAGGAACATGAAAGGCACTTCAGACTAATTCAACAGAGAAGTCAGCCATAGCAGAGCATATTCATGTATTTTAAATTGTATAGATAAAGGTAAAGGTTTTCTCCTGACATTAAGTCCAGTCGTGTCCGACTCTGGGAATTGGTGCTCATCTCCGTTTCTTTTTTTACATAATTTTATTGCATTTATATTCATTTTATTACAAAAAAATCTCTATAATTCATATAATTACTTTATAATTAATATATTTACTTCTTCTCCATTCCCCAGTTGTGCTACCAATTGTGCTCCCCATCTCCATTTCTAAGCCGAAGAGCCGGTGTTGGCCATAGACATCTCCAAGGTCATGTGGCCAGCATGACTGCATGGAGTGCCATTACCTTCCCGCCAGAGCAGTACATATTGATCTACTCACATTTGCATGTTTTCAAACTGCTAGGTTGGCAGAAGCTGGGGCTAATAGCGGGAGCTCACACCGTTCCCCAGATTTGAACCTGCAACCTTTCAGTCAGCAAGTTCAGCAGCTCTATGCTTTAACCCACTGCGCCACCAGGGGCTCCTTTAAATTGTATGCTGATGCTTTTATGCTAAGCCGCATTGAGTCCCCTTCAGGAAAGATAAAGTAGGTTATAAATAAGTATTATAATAAAAATAAGATTATGAAACCAAGAAATCAAAACTATAACCTTCTGATGCTGCCCTAACTTCAACTCCTTCCTTTGTCTCCCTTTTCAAAAACCAAATATATACTAAATTTTCAAAAAATGTAATACAAATTTCAAATCTATTGGAAAACATGAAAACACTTCGGGAGAGAAGTGGGGAAATAAATCAATAAAATAATGATATAATCAATCTTCTTCTATACACATAATAAAAGTGAAATTATGTATGTTTGGGTGTGGCTGGGTTGCCCACATACACAAACAAGCTCCAGCCTCCACAAACAGATATAGCTCCCACCACTCAGAAGACACCAAAGGTTTTCCCTCCAGTGACATTGCAGGTTATAGAGAGTGCAATGAACATGTCCAAGAGCCCTGCCAATGTCATCCACAAACGCCATACTGCCCACCACTCAAGTGAAGGCTTTCATATGGGGACAATTTCATCCTAGATTTTATGTGTTTCCTCCACCACAGGCATCTCAGTGTTCCTTACTTTTTCTATTGGTGTGGAATTTGCATGACCCCTGCCCACCACCTCTCCCTTAACCCTTTCCTATTCTTTTCCATGGCACACGGCAAACAGAGGAATTGATTGGCAACTGAACATACTGGTGTGGTTTGGGAAGAAATCATGATTTATAGGAGTTGTAGGTACTGGGGTGTATAGTTCCCCTGCAATCTTAGAGCACTCTGAACTCCATCAATGATGGATCTGGAACTAACTTAATAATAATAATAATACTGTATTTATACCCCGCCACCATCGCCCCAAGGGACTCGGAGCGGCTTACATGAGGCCAAGCCCAACAACACATCAATAAAACAAAAAGCAATAAACAAAAACAATAAATACAATACAATTAATATAAATCACATATAAACAATAACCAATAAACAGTAACACACAAGGATTTAAAAACCAAATGTAATAGTTTAAAAATTAAAAAATAAACACTGGGCATGAACAAGGTAGGATATCTCAGTTCTTGCGGGTTTTTTCGGGCTATATGGCCATGTTCTACAGGCATTTCTCCTGACGTTTCGCCTCAGAGGATGCTTGCCATAGATGCAGGCAAAACGTCAGGAGAAATGCCTCTAGAACATGGCCATATAGCCCGAAAAAACCCACAAGAACTGAGTGATTCCAGCCATGAAAGCCTTCGACAATACAAGGTAGGATATATCTGGTATAGGGTTTTAAAAGAGAGATAAGGAAGTGCAGTCAATCAGGACTCCCATGACCAACAAAAATACTGGAGGTCTTTGGAGGGATTTATAGGAGTTGTAGTTCACCTACAATCAGAGTGCAATATGAACCCAAACAATGGATGTGGACCAAACTTGGCATGCATACCCAATATGCCCAAATTTGAATACTAGTGGGTTTTGAGGGGAATTGGCCTGGACATTTTGGAGTTGTAGGTGCTGGCATTTATAGTTCCCTGCAATCAATGAGCACTCGGAATGCTTGGAAGATGGAATTGGACCAAACTTGGCACACAGAGCCCTCATGACCAGCAAAAAATACTGGTGGGCTTTGGGGAAAATTCACCTTGATTTGTGGGAGAGCACTGTGAACCCAAACACTAATCAATTTGGGCCAAACTTGGCACACTTATCTTATATGCTCTAATTTGATTACTGGAGGGGTTGGGGAAAACTGACCTTTCTTTCTGGGAGTTTTAGTTCACTCACAAACAGAGAAACTGTGACCTCTATCGATGATGGACCAAACTTGGCACACAGAACCCCCATGACTAACTAAACCTACTGGAGGGGGTTGAGGGGACTGACCCATCATAGTTTACGCCACAGCCAGAGAGCACACTGAACCCCACCAATTATGCATGTGAAGCAAACTTGCCCAACATAACAAATTTCTAAGTACTGATGGAGTTTTTTGGGGGGTTAACCTGGTGTGATGTGAGTTGTAGTTCACCCACAACCTTATGCATTTTGTACAATTAAAAATTGAGTTTTTCAAATCACTTGTGCAAATGCCGGCTACCCAAGCTAGTAATAATAATAAATGCAAAAATATAAATCTTCCCATACCTTCCCCATCTCAATGCTGTGGCTCCTTAAAAATGCATAAAATCATTAAAAAAACAAATGCAACTGACTTCTCCCCTTCTCAAGTCAACTCTGAACTCACAACCCCCAAAGTTTCTGGTTGCTTTAGAGTTACTATTTAAAACAGCCTGAACTAATACTAGACTACCTACAGGAGAGAAAAACAAAGAGTTTGTCTCCACCAGCTTGGTTAGGTTCCCACCTGCCAAGAAAGGTTCGAGGAAGAAAAGGTGTTTAAAAAATCCTTTCTCCAAACAAACCTTTTCCCCAAACTGACGCCCTTCTTCATGCCTTTAAGCTGAAGGTAAACAGCAAAAGAGAGAACCTCATAATACACATTCTTGGGCTGGTTCCAGCAAAGATGTGACACAGGAAAGGGGGCCCCCAACCAAGCAGGTAGACCCATTTTGGTCAAACAGGTTAATTCTCTATCTCTTTTTAACTATTGCATCTTGATCACTGGGCTGGTTTTTCTCTCCTTCCCATAGCATTAACCAAGATACATCCACACTGTGGAATGAGTGCAGTTTGTCACCATTTTAACTGTGAATGGAACAGTGCAGTCACTCTTTGGCAGCGCACCTTAAGACCATGTTAAATTACAACTCCCGGGATTACACATCATTGATCTGTGGAAGCTAAACCAATGTCAAGCTGCATTCATTCAGCAGTGTAGATTCACAATATGCTGCAGAAGGCTTTCATGGCCAGAATCACTGGGTTGCTGTGACTTTCAGGCTGTATGGCCATGTTCCAGCAGCATTCTCTTCTGGTGTTTCACCTGCATCTGTGATTGGCATCTTCCGAGGATCTGATGGTGATAAAGCAAGTGGAGTGTACTGGAACTATACCTGTGGAGTGCATCACACCTAATAGTTCTATTCAATGTCAGTTGTCTCGTTAATTTTCTTCTTTCTACTATTCCTAGTCATTTGTTTTCAAGCTATTTTATTGATATTTTTTTTTGCAATGGGTAAAAAATTGAAACATAATTGGGAACGAGTGTGATGCTGCTGATGTGGCAAAAGGAACCCTTTCCTCCCACCACAGAATGAAATGATGGCCCAAACTCATTCATACTATATATTTTACCTAATTACACTTCTAGCTCTCAAATTGTGCTTAGAGCAGTGTCTGCAGAGACTGGGGCCCCTTCTACACTGCCATATAAAATCCAGATTATCTGCTTTGAACTGGATTATATGGCAGTGTAGAGTCATATAATCCAGTTCAAAGCAGATAATGTAGATTATATGGCAGTGCAGATCCAGCCTCCAGGAACTGTAGTCCTCTTCCTCTAGCTTCTTCTTCCTGGATTATATGAGTCTACACTGCCATATAATCCAGTTCGAAGCAGATA